TTCGTCCATGTTTTATCAGTGAATAATAGTCTGCAACGTTAAGCGACTTTAGCAGTGTAGAAGTGAGTCGCGCGTTAGGATGTCTCGCAAACTAAAATTAACAGTAGTAAACAAAGCTTAATGATATTTCGCACACCCAAGCATGTCTTTGCTGGCCAAGGCGTCGACGGAATCAACCTTTTCCCCTCATCTTCCTGCCTTTGCTGCTCCTACTTCTGAATGAGCGTTTTCATTCATTAACTGTTTCCAGCCGTTTCTAAGCGGGGCGCTATAACACAGCCTACTGAGCGCGCATCAAAAGCCAGGCATAATTTATAACGAACGAATCAGTTTTAAGGAGACTGCTCAAATTCCTTATGCGGGTGGAACATTCATCGACATAATTTTTAAAAAGTTTACGCCGCATAAAAATTTTATCAAAATAAATCCAGACATTTCAGATCAATTTGGACCAATATCAGGGGATACTGAACCTGCTGTTACATGTCACTTGAGGATGGATCCGGCTCGATCCAAAATGTCTGGATTTATTTTAATAAAATTTATATGCGTTGTAATCCCTTTGAAGATTATAATGATAAACCAACGAACCAGTGTTAATCAATCACTGTCCATATATGCTGAAAGCTAATTACAGATGAAAAGTAGTACTACCCAAGAGCTACTGACACGAAAGTGAAAAGACAATTTACCAGACCGATCGTTGTCAAATGATAGCAGATGCTGACCAAATAAAATGCTATACCTATCTTACCAAAATGCATTTATGCATCGCTCTTGTGGGTAGTACGGGATTCGTTCTCGCTACATGAAGTTGGTCGTAGTCGTCAACAGGATTCGCCTTCATAAGCGGTTGTCCCTGCCTCAGAAACAGCTGGTCGACCCTGGCCGGTCGAATCGAGCGAGCGAATCAAACTGCTAGAGACGCGAAATGGATCACTTTCGCCATATAAAAAAGATCTATTTAAAGCACATGTGCTACGCTATGCCCATCACTCATTAGGCATTGACGGCGAGGGGCGGTGCAGCGTATTTCAGATGTTTCATCGCTCGTTTCGCCATCGGGCGAACGATTACGGTCCAACACCAAACTATTACGTTTTGCTTGCCGGTCAGCAGCCGCATTCAAACAAACGGTCAACGATTTAGTGAGCCGGAAAGGGTCACTGAACGCGCAGCGATAACTATCGGAAGGCGGTGTTTATTTACCATTTATGCGGTTTAAAATTTTAGACGATTCGAACTACGTGTCAAAAAGTGCTTCCCATCTGAGAGTAACGTTGAATCAAGTGGCAAACCACATTTGCAAAACAAATAAGAGAAGGACATCAGATAAGACTGATTATAAACCGATCACTCCGCTGGCTCATCTGCGCATAACGGCAAAGCAAGTGTGCCGGCGATTTTAGTCGCGAGGCGGTGCACTCCTCATCCAGTACCGGTGCTTCTTGTTTTTCGTCGGCCAGTGGGGCTCTCACGAAGCGCCATCGATATGTTTGTGTGTATCAGAAACGTCTGTGACAAATGGCAATTGTTTTCACATCATTATCAAATATCGAGAGTCAAAAGACGTAGTAGCCTAGGAGGCTATGACGCCAATCACTACTCTTGCATGCGCTGTATTTCACCGCTGCCGCTAAGCGTCATGTGGCAGCAAATTCCAGCAGCCATCTTTCTGCATATTCCCTTATTCATCATCGGTCGGAAATTTACTATGCGTATCGGTCAAGTTTCACACCACGCTTGACCACCCGCAGAATCGGAAAGATTAAATTTTAATAAGCTACGATCAGCTGTCGATTAGACGAAGACATCCAAACTGGATATAAACGCATCTATCATTAGTCACAAGAGTAAACAAATAACGATTCGTGTGAAAAAAGAAGTACGAAGAAATGATCGTAAACGGTTGCCGCAAAGCAGTCACGTTATGACCGATACACGATCAGCTGACGAGAAAATGAATATTTCAACAAATTCAAGTTGTAACGGTCCAAGACAGCTAATACTCAAGCAGTTCAAGGCTGTCGAAACTTTTCAAAAATTTTCCTCAAATGCAAATTACCGAGTGAGGGTTGCTTTGAACCATTAACAAGTGAGTGGACCTTATGTGCTCGAGTATGCTCATGTATACTTATGAGAAAAAACCGATGAATAGCCTAGATTTTTTCGTTTCCCAGCCCGATGCGCCCTGCTGTTACACAGGTGAACAGGAACAGAGGAACAAGTGACGTTCATGTCTCAAGATAATGTTTATTGGCTTTGGAAAATAGGAAGACGGTCGTTCTCCATGAACTATCCCGAACCGCTGTGACTACGGCTGAGCTGAGCGTAAAGACGAAGCTGTTTTTGCTCAGGC